AATTCCACGTTAATGTTACGTTAGTCTGTACTTAACTACGTATTTCACTAAAAAATGCAACATTTTAACTCGGTTTTTGGTAGATTTTTACGTGACTAACATAAGGCTACTGTGGAAGTGCCCATTTTGGTTACAACGACATTCATTTATAACGACACTATTTTTAGGTCTCTTTGATGATGTTATAACCAAGTTCTACTGTATTTTATTGGACCAACGACATAGTCATCATGAATCTGTAATGTGTGACATGTTTTACATATATCCAGCCCTACGGGAAGATGATTGGATCCATGACGTGAAAATAAATGTAAATGTAGTGTTCTGAATTTTCACACCACAAAAGAAGATAAAATGGATGATGTGAAGGAGAGGTTCTAAAAAGAACTAGAACATGTATTCCATTAATATCACATGAAAATTTTGCTAGGAGATTTCAATGCCAAAGTAGGTAGGAAAGATATTTTCAAAAAACAATTGGGAATGAGTGTTCGCATGAAATTAGTAACGATAATGGAGTGGTAAATTTTGTCACATCCAATAATCTGATTGTCAAAAGTACAGTGTTCCCTCATCATAAAATTCATAAATTTACTTGGAAATTTCCTGATAAAAAGGCTCACAATCAAATTGAATATATTTTGATAGACAGGAGATGGCATTCAAGTATACCTTACGTCTGATCGTTAAGGGTAGTAGATTGTGATACTGACCACTATCTGGTTGTGGCAAAAGTTAGGGAGACACTGGCAGTAAACAAACAATGCACAGATTTTGTATGGAGATGTTCAATCTCAAGAAATTAAATGAGGTAGGGGGTAAAGATCAGTATTGTGTTGAAATGTCAAACAGGTTCACAGCTTTGGAAAACTCAGACATTGAGGTGGACATTAATAGAGCTTGGGAAAATATTAGAGAGAACAATAAAATTTCAGCCGAACGGAGCCTAGGATATTATGAATTGAAGAAGCATAAATCATGGTTCAATGAAGGTTGCTCAAAATTATTAGAGCAATTAAATAAGCCAACCTGCAGTAACTACAGGATCCAAGAGAAATAAATTGGGATAATCTGAACAATATAAGACATGAAGCCAGGAGGTATTTCGGGAATAAAAAGAGGGAATATCTGAAAGAAAAAATTAATGAGCCTGCAATGAACAGTAAGAATTAGAACACTAGAGACCTTTATAGAGGATTAAATTAATTTAAGAGGGGTTGCTAATGTACAAGTAACTTAGTGAAAGATGAGAATGGTGATCTGCTTGCAGATTCCCATGCCATTTTGAACAGGTGGAAGGCATACTTCTTCCAGTTACTGAATGTACATTGAGTCAGTGATTCAGATTTTATATTCTATTATTCTTAAAAAGAAAGGGAACTGAGGAAGGCATTACTGCTCATTTTCATCAGTACACACAAGGAAAGTTGTTAACACATGCTGCATCAGAAACCTAAAAAATATCACAACATTTGTTATATTTGTGAAAGATATAAACATTCTTCAAAATCTATGTAAGTCGCTGTTATCCAATTAAGTGTTTACACATGAAAATCTACCTTCTATTGGAATCCATACATGACATTCAAAGGATTAATATCCTTTATTCTTTAATTGAAATGCAGAACAATTTATTGCATGCCAGTATGTCAGATGAAAATGCTGTAACTTAATTTGTAAAGATATTACCATGAATACTACATACACTAATTATTTCCTTTAATAGGGGCCTACTGACTACCTGTGCATTCTCATCCTTATCTTCAATATCAATTCATAACCAGTGCTTACCCTCATCATGTTCAGAGCTTCAGGAGAGTCAATTAGCACACAATGCAGCACATCCAACATTCCAGTACCTTCACCAGAAGCCTGTGAGCCCAATCTGCTAAACAACCAGTTCAATCTGTTTGTGTTTGCAAACTGGGTACAATTAGTGTGATTTCCCTTGATGATTGCAGCTGCACAGAAGTACAAAACAATAATAATACTGCATATTTCCTCTCTTAAAATGCATCTCGATGTATGATTCCATGGATACTTAATCTGGTAATCAATTAATAATGTTGAAATAATTTTGTGTTACCTACTGCACACTGTCTTTGTCAATGTATGCCATTATTTTCAAAACCTCCATTCATAATGGGGCATTACTAACATCATTAAAGTAATTGTGGTACCTAACACACACAGACAAAGAAACAGTTATGTTCTCTGAAGACAAAACAGATAGGAAAACACCATGCCAGTCACAGTGCTCTAATAAAATCCCTGAAATCTTTTCTCAGTTACATATAGAAGATACAAAGATGATCATAGAAGAGTATATGTGGATACTGTCACCAACTTCATTTCCACCTAAATACCTGGTAGAACAGTGTACTCAATATTTTCTTATCCAAGAGTTACTTCACAGCACTTTTGAGCCCATATATTTTATCATTCATGGTGTTATTAAATCAGCCATTTCTGCTTTAAGACCACTTTATAATTATGTAAATAAAATATACAATAATAATAATAATAATAATAACAATAACAATAACAATAATCACTATCTGTGCACCTTTTGCCTTCTGTGTACTATATTCATGTATACGTTTAGTTATTTGAGAGACTTCAAGAAGAGTAATCCTAGCAGNTGTCGATTGTTTCAATATTATGAACTATCATAAGAAAAGTGGATATATCACTCTTCATGACTCACCAAGCAATTGATACAAGTATCCAGAAATAACATCCCAATTCTGGCCTGCCTCATCACCTGACAAAGCCACCAGAAAACCTTGAGAGGTTATTACATTAATTTTGTCAATGGCTTCTAGAATTAGGTTCAGTATGCCTTCTTCTTGGAATAGGTCCTGCCGATTCCTTAGGGCACGAAGACGATTCTGTTTCTCTTCATGTTCTGGAAATTATAATACAACACAGATATAGCTTAAACTATGAAATATATCCTCTAACTTGTAAAGATGCAAAATAAATATAAATACAATGATTACCAACACTTGAGCAACAGTATCAACAACCACATTTCTAGAAGTGATATGTTAACAAAAACCTGTACTCATAATCCATTAGTAGTAGTATCACATTTATTTTCTTTAATATTAAATAATTCCAGGCTACTTTTCTTGAAAACTTTAAATAAGAAATGTAAAACATTCAAATTTGTCACAACATTTAAGTTTAGCATTATGTTTCCAACTTATTCTGAGAATGTACAAACACATAAAAACCACTGGACAATTTCCACATCCTGGTTTTTTTAACTTGTAGGGATATATATGGAAAATAAATGGACAATGACAATGACAATGACTGTTACACGATCTATAGCCAATAGACGAAGCACACAGAATCAAATTTTCTTTCATATACACATAAAAATATATGCATGACATAATTCCAGAATCAATGCTCAATCCACAAAGTAAGAAAAAAACAGCCTAATTCCTGTAATGAAAAGAAACTGAAAATTACATGACAAATCCATATAGAAGTTAAAAAATCTGGCTAAATGAAAGTTACTAGGAGGAGAAAAGCAATTAAACATGTTTCTTAATTGTAAAAGTAAAAAAAGAAAGCTATAACTGTGTTTAAATAATTAAGCACTATGCCATGAAGGCATATGGGGGAGTGGATGTATAGACCCACATTTTCTTGAGCTCGACACTAGCTGGAGGTGAGTGGGCAACTTCATGCCCTGGCTGCTTTACCTCCAGGGAAAGAGCCCCAGGTACCCATTGGATAGGAGGTTGGGTGGACCCCAGAGCCAGTCTGGATGACTTGGAGAAAAAAAAATTCTTGATCCTACCAGGACTCAAACTCCGTCCTCTTGGTCTAGGGTATCCAAACTATGGCCCGCGGGCCACATGCGGCCCGCGATGTGATTTTATCTGGCCCGTGAAAGAATTGTGCAGAAATGCGCCAATTGAACTAATTTTCCAATGAGTACTGGTAAATGTGATTCCGAGCTTATTAACCTGACATATTATATTGATATGTTTCTTACCGAGAGAAACCATCACGAACCACTTTTATCAGATACCGAGGGGCTTTGGAAATTAGCATTTTTTGCTGATCTGGTGAACCATATGAACCATTTGAATTTAAAGTTGCAGGGTGGAAATAACTTAGTCTGTGATTTATTTGCACTTATCAAGGCATTCAGAGCAAAGCTGATACTTCTGGAGAGCCAAGTGAAAAATTGTAACTTTGTTCATATGCTATACTGTGCAGAGTTGCATAAAAAGGATGAAGCAGAATTTCCTTCCTCGTTTGCAAATTTAGTCATTTCAGATTTGAAAGAACAATTTCTGAAGCGAATTCCTGATTTGGATTCCAGTGCTCAGGAAATTAGATTGTTTCAAAATCCGTTTGACTGTGATGCTGCAGATGTCCCAAGTCAAATTCAAATGGAAATTATTGAATTTCAGGAAAATTATCATATTAAAGACAAATACAAGGAAGGAAATTTGATCGAATTTTATAAATTTCTGAACTCTGAGCAATTTCCAAATTTAAAGAAATTTGCTTGTAAATTTATCTCCATTTTTGGGACGACATATCTGTGTGAACAAACTTTTTCCCAGATGAAGTACATCAAGTTGAAATACAGGGCAAATTTATCCGATGAACATTTAAAGTCGCTACTTGTGATTAGCGTTTCAAACTTTGAACCTCAATTTAATCAGATTTTAAGAATGCAAAAAGAGTTCCATCATTCACATTGGTTTTTTTTATAATTTGTGATGAAAATACATATGAGCATTTGCTGCTACTGTCTGTTGTCATTAATATACGATAATTTATTCTCACGTACTTTGTATTTAGTTTATGAAATTCTGTGCTTTCAATAAAACTCATATACCTAGAGTTATTAATTTCTCATTTTATCTGGCCCGTTGAAAGTGCTGAATTACCTAATGTGGCCCCTGGTTCGAAAAGTTTGGAGACCCCTGCTCTTGGTCATCCAGCCTGTAGCCAGTCACTATACTGACTATGCTAGTCCGGCTCACTAATTGTAATTTCTTTAAATTCACGAAGAAAAATTACAAGGTTTGCAGCTTTCGAAAACTTAGACAGTGAGGTGGATATTAATAGAGCTTGGGAAACTATTAGAGAGAATATCAAAATCAATTTGGATAAGTTTCAAACCAATAACTCTGTATGTCATTGGTACCAGAAGGAATGACAACCTTCATATACCTTCAACACATTTATTATCCTATCAGAGAGGGGTGTATTATTCAGGCATCAAGCTATTTAACACTCTGCCGTCAAATAAGACAGTTTTAAAATATGATAAAAAGCAATTTAGGTTTGTTTTATGAAATTATTTGCAAAGTAACACATTTTACTCTATTGCTGAATTTGTCGAGCATGCAAGGGGCTCAAAAGTTAAGAGTTAATAAATGGTCTGTGTGTGTGTGAATTATACATTGTTGAGACTTACTTGCTGTAAGTGTAGTAGTATGTATGATGTCTGTTTTTGTTATGAATTTTAATATTTTATAATGTAACTGTTTGGATGGTATGGCTTGCCAATGTGTGTGGAATGGCAAGGTGTGAATTTGACAGTGGTTCTTTCATGACCTATATGTGTTGCCCTGACAACTTGAGCTATCTGTGTGAGGCCTGATTATATATTTTATTGGACCAAGGTCAAATGATGTGTAGTCATTATGAAATTGTAATATGTGACATGTTTTACATCCAGCCCTGTGGAGAGATGACTGAATCCATGAAGTGAAAGTAAATGTAAATGTAAATATCAAATATCAAAATTTCGACCAAAAAGAGTCTAGGTTATTCTTTTGAGGTTGCGATTACTATTGCAAAGTTGAAAAAGTATAAACTGTCAAGTAGTGGTCAAATTAAGAACTAATTCAAGCAGGAGGTGAAACATTATGATCAGTGAAAGGGCTCTATTATTGTACCAATTTACAAGATAGGAGATAAAACTGGCTGTGGTAATTATTGTGGGATATCAATGTTATCAACTTCATATAAAATGTTATTCAATATCTTTTTCGGTATCAGACCCCGTGTTTGGTATGCTTCCTTCTTTTATACAATTTCGATTTTTCCAAAAATTCTGAAAGAGGACACATGTCTGCTCCCCCATCTATGCCGTTATCTATCTATAAATAAATTAAATTGAATGGGCGCGCGCACGACAACAAACTGTTGCTCGCGCACACAGAAATATGTACACCTACAGTTCAACCTTTTCAGTGAAATCTTTCTGCAACCAATATAATTTTACGTCAAATTAACTAATTATGATAGTTTTGAAATAACGTCTTTCTTTTATAAAACTGGTATATTCGCGCTATTTTTAAATGATAGTTTCTATTGGTCGGTTTGAAATTCCAACCAATAACCAATACCGGCCATTCCTACGCAAGCACTGAAAAAGCTGAAAAACACGAACAAGGTATAACAATAACATGCTTTAGCAAATAGGTTTTGAGATTCTCACGGTGTTGGTGGCAGTAGTTGTGAAGCGTTCTATCATCTGGGCCGCTGAACGTCAACCGAAATTTCGGAGGGACATGTCACCTCCATCTTCGGGGTCGAAGAATAATCCAAGCAGGAGGCCACCGTAACAGCACGTGGCACGCTCTGTACTGCTTACCACGTGCTTTCAAATTGATTGCTTATTTCGAATATTCTTCGATCGTGCAGTTGGAGAATACGTGTTCCTCCGAAACGCTGGTTGTCTTTCAAAGGATTACACAGCGTTATATCGGTTATATCGCACAAGACAGAACTCTTCATACTTTTCTATGTTCCAGCCGAACCACTTATGTTATGATTAGTTCTTTGTGGTTGTTAGCGGTTATTCAATATCGCTTTTAGCGTAGTACACTTCGAGAGGTCGTTGTGTTTATCACTGACTTTTAGGCTAACTTGATTTAAGATGTAATCCCCCTTGTTTTAAGGAAAGAGGAGGCGTACATTGAGTCCACTTCACCCAGTTCAAAAGGAAAAATTAAATTTCGTAGAAATTAATGCTGCTTCGCTCACTCTTTCCGCTCAGCTCAGCTAGGATTCCCTCCTTTCAGACTCCCTCGCAGTAGGGCGCAATAGAGTTTTTTGCTGAAGGCGGGAGATCTAAATAAGAGGAAATAACAGAACCACCGCGAATTAAGAACATTCCATTTGGTTCAACCTGAGATTAACCCTTACAAAGTGCTGTCCTGCCACATAGCAGTGAAGTATGTAAGTATGTTAAATACAGGATGTTTTTTAATAAACTTTACATGTTCACGGCTCTGAGCTTCACCGTGACCCATGCACCACCAGCTGCGAAGCGCACAAGAATTTTGCCGATGACTCAGCATGCCGATAACATTTGGAATGAAGGGAAGTTCTTATTTTGTTCACAGATCACAGGAGGTGTTGAAAATGCTGTCCCTCTACACACAGACATTCCTCACACCAGCAGAAGAGGTTTTGATTTACTTTCTGAAGATGATATGCAGGAATATTTCAAATTTCCCTACAAATGTTTTCTTCCAGTTTTTGCATTCACAGGTTACTGCTGTAAACTTTGCCCTTCAAATAACCCAAGAAGAAAAAATCACAAGGCTTAAAATCACCTAAATGTGCTGACCAAATATCACTGCTGTTAATTCTGTCCCTGAAAACATTGGACAAAGGCTGCATAGACATATGTGCCATGTGGGCAGTAGCTGAGTCTTGCTGAAAGCAGCCATAGAGTCTTCTTCTGTTAACTGTGGAAAGAACTGCTCAAGAATGACCTGTACATATCTCTGACAATTAATTGTTTTGTTAAAAAACACATGTCCAACAATCTTTCTTGCACTTAAAGCACACACTTGCACTGGACAGAGCATGGCTATGTGGGTTAGATGTGGATTCTGTGAACTCCAGTAGCAATTGTTTTGTGTATTTATGTATCCCTGAAAGTAAGACCATGCATCATCAGAAAAGCATGTCAATTGCAGATCAGTCTCACCTTCGATGACAGACTGTAGAAACCCACTGCAAGAACAAACTTTGCTAGCTGAATTGCATGGATTACTGTTGTTTTATAGGGTCTAAGTTTCAAAAATTGTTTTGCCATTCTTGAATTAGACTTTGACACTCAAGTTTCTTGAGCTAGACATTTCAGTGCTTTCATTTAGATGTATGTTCAAGTCTGGCCCCTATGTCATCTAACTTCTCCTCAGTAAGCGCTTGACGCTTATGTTTTGTTCTTTTGCCTATTCAGAGTCCCGTTGTTCTAAGTTTATTTACCAAATTATGAAGTGTTTGTCTGCTGGGAACTCTTTCATCATGAAATTAACATCAAAGTTTTCGCTGACACTCTCCAGCAGATCCATATTTCACGTATATGTCACAGAAATACACGTTGCTCTAAAGTATAGTGAACCATGTCGTACCACACTGCTGAGTAGCTGCTAACTGGGCACAAATGTCTCACGACACTGATAATTACTGCCTACTGCTGACAAATCATAAACAAACTCCCATGCATGAACCACACTGCCCACTGTGTACCAAAATGCTGTATAGAGGTCCATAAGTAAATTATTTTCGTTCATTCTAAATATTATCATCTGTCAAGCGTGCTGAGTTCTAGTCAAAATTTGCTTGCGCTTTGCAGCTGGTGATGCCCTGGTCATGGTGAAGAACTAAGCTGCGAACTCATCAATGGCTTTAGAAATGTCCCTGTAGATTTTAAATCGAATGATGAAGTGTGAGTTAAGTGGTTAGAATTTGCGGCCATATCTGTAATCCATGACAGCTAGAGTCCGAATGACTACAGATCAAATGCTAAGCTAAGCTTAGCAGAGTGGAATTAGTGTACACAGTCCTTTAGTATCCCCTGCAAGTGTAGGAAGGTGTACAGTTGACAAACTGGTCATTCCATTGAGACTAGGGTTAAGGAATCCCTATTAACCTGAGAAGAGAGAAGTCAGCCATGAAGGAACATAGCATTGACCTTAATCATTGTATCATACTTAACAAGACCAACATTATGGACAAGAAATCAAGGTGTAGGATGGGCTCATAGTGGAAGAGATGGAACTTGACCTCCACCCTGACAACATGAGTGGGAAGGGTGGGTTATCCCTGAGCAGGTCATGGAGACTCTTCCAGAAAAAGAAGGTTCTGGTCAAGGGCAATATGGTTACTTCCTCCTGAAGCAACATTCCTCTCTAGGGCGCTTTTTGTACTTCACTACTGCAGGGTCCCTGTGGATAATGGCTGCCTTTTCTTTCATTCCATTCCCCCCCGTGTGGAAAAATAATATTGTGGCTTGAATAGAGCTGAGCTGTCTTTAACAATATCATGGTCCTGAAAAAGGCCATTTTTCTGCTTCCCTTTCCTCTTGACTAGGGCTGGGCTCCATCTTGTCCCATCCTACCCATGTGCCTAAGTGACCACCTTCCTTTGAACCCACCTGTGTAATCCAATGAATTTCTCAACCTACACACTTTAACCCAAAGATGAAGGCAGTATGATCCTACAGAAAGTTGGCCTCTTCTGGCATGATGACATGGCATCATAACCCAGTAGACCACAATCACTAATTTTTAGTTTCCTACAAACAGTAATAACAACATGGTGGAAGATAAACTTGTGAGGTGTTAGTGACACAAACAGCACTATCTCATTCTGAAATGATGTGTAATAATATATCATCGAAGCGTAAGTAACTTAGCCAAGGTACATATTATGGCCTTCTGGGTTATGGCACCTTATAGTTGATGGTTACCAGCATTATAGAGGAACACAGTGCCTCCATCTACAAGGTAGAAAAGTGTTCCTCCAAAACATTGTTGCCCACTTGCCAGCCTGCATGATGTGATATCCCAGAAAACCATCTAAAGTAATCTTACATTTGTTGCACAGAGTAGATTTTAAATCATTTCATAGTATTATGGAATACCAAAGAAATGCAAATTATTAGCAATTTAATCATTACTTACCCATTTCTTCTCCAGGTTGTGCAAAATAGTTAATCAGATCTTCAAGACACATCACCATTTCACCTAAATTCACACAGTGGAAGAACACGGATGCACGTCTGTTAAGCTGTAGAGTTTCCAGGCCCCTAAATTAAGAATGCAGCTGTAATTAATGCTTTGGATATAATAGGAACCATGAGTATGTCCTCTGTGTGTGTGTGTCTGTTTGTGACAGAGAATTCATGTACTTATCTTTGATTTATTATTTATAAGAAAAGTGTGCTTTAATCGGTAAGTGCCAGCCAGCATACACAGTAGCCCCTGCACATCACTTTTACCATCTGACATATATCATACTAATGCTGTATACAGAGTTAAAATATATATGTGTTACAACACTCTGTGGTAGATAGGTTGGTTCAATGTGATCATATTTTGTTAATACACCCATATCTGGTAAAATGCTTTGTTTACGCACTAGGGACTTTGGTATGTGAAGGAGGACTCCCTTACCTCTTACCTCTGTAGCTTACTGGTGACATTTACCTAACATTTTTCCAAGAGACCTTACCTGAGCTGCTGGAAGTGGTGCCTTTGGAAGTCTGTCATGAATCTGGTTCCTGCATGATGGCGCCCCAACACACTGCACTAATGTTGTCCATGAGTATTTGGATGAAACCTTTGGTAATACATGGATTGAATATGGAGGCCCAATAATCTGTCCCCCTTGTTCCCCTGACTTGACTCCACTGGATTTCTTTCTATGGGGTTACATCCAAAGCCTGATGTACAAAACTCCAGTGGTGAGACAACATTATCTTGTGGCAAGAATCGCAGTAGCAGTCGGAACCATCTGGGAAATGCCGGGAATCTTTCAAAGAGTTCAGCATAGCATAACCAGATGGGCTAAAACATGCAATTAAGTCATCAGCCGCCATTTTGAGCAACTTTTATAATGTAAAACAACTATAACATCCCCTACAACATATGCATCCTCTAGGAAACTTTTGTGACCCTTAGTGCCAAAAGAAAGCATTTCCAGTAATGAGTATATTAACAAAATATGATCACATTGAACCCATCTATCTACCACAGAGCATAGCAACATATATTTATTTACATCCTTTATGTTAAGGTGTTCCGTTTTGTGCTTCCATCATAGAAATAGGTTAATTACTTGTTAATGACTGTCAAGTTATTGTAGGCATTTCCTGATATTGTTTCTTGAGACTAAGAAACTGTGCATTACTTTCCATGCTGAAGGCTGTGGTATCCACTACTAGAATGAAAAGCTCATTTTCTTACAAGTTTTGCTAAGGTAATTCAAAACAGTATTTATTAGCTTCAGATAGTGATAAGGAAAATTCTGTAGATGACTATGCACTAATATCACATCAGTGAACAATAATGATGATGAAAAGGCAGAAGAGATACTGGAGACAGAGTTTGAGAGGTCATGTCAAATTATGGGTGGCAGAGATAGAATTTCACTAATGAATTTGGGTCATGAAGTGTAGCAGAGAACACAATGACATTGTGGAAAGTTTTAAATTTTTCTTCAATAATAAATTTTGGGAGAACAGTTCTTATGCAGAACAATTCTGAATGTGCTAGTTGGCATGTGGCTCCTGTCTTGAGCCCTTCAAGACTGACCTCATCTTTCTGAATTACTAAGATAATGCAATTTGCATCTTCATGTGCTAGAAATATTAAAGTGTTTGCTTACAAAGTCTGAATTAAGTTTCATTAAAATTGTGGAAGTTGTAACAATGTTAATCCAAGTGTGTGTATGTTGCTTATTAAAGTCGTAATCATCGTCACCACCACCAACATGATTATCATCATCATCATGGATTAGGTCTGAATGACTTGTTTCTTCCTCTAGAAAAATATGTCAATCTTGTTCAAATATTGGACACCTCACGCTTTAAGTTGTTTATGAATATATCCTGTTTCTGTTCATACTTCTCCCCAGACCTAACTCTGTGTGCAAAAAATGTGAGCTACTATTCTCCTCGAAGAAAGCAGTCTTCTGGGATTTGGCACCGTGTATATGTGGTGTTAACCGACGTTTCGGAGGAACGTATCGCCTCAATCTTCAGTGTAGAAGAAAAAATATAAGAAATCCGCAAGCGAAGAGACCGTGAGAACCGGTAAAAGCAGACTGGTCTGCTTCCGGATTTCTTATATTTTTTCTTCTACCCTGAAGATGGAGGCGATACGTTCCTCCGAAACGTCGGTTAACACCACATATACACGGTGCCAAATCCCAGAAGACTGCTTTCTTCATAGTCACCGCCGTGAAAGCCTCAAATCTTACACACTATTCTCCTCCTCCTCTATTTCTTCAGATTCTTAGCTGCATTATCAGTGGTTCATGACCAAGCCTTCCCACATGGCCACTTCCTGCTGCTAGCACCATACCTTCCTCTTACCAGTTGCACAGTTAGATTGGTATGTGATAGAACATGGTCTTTCCATAGAGATCTATATATATTTTAGAATTCTGGTATTCAAATTTAAAAAATCTCAGTTCACTTTATAATAAACGTCAGTACGAAGTTACAGCTGTCCTGAAGTTATGATTTGGTCTGCAACTCACTCTGTCATCCAGTTTCCAACATTTGATCACCAAGTACACCTATTCGTTGTGTATCTTACACATAAACTTAATTATGTGACATATAATAATTATTAGGATTGCACTTTTTTAAAATTTTCAGTTTATTCAATTTAATTCATCAGAACACCATATCTGAGACTGGACTTCAGTCCTTATCTGTAACAAGTTTTTAGTATTTCAGAAGAGTACATGAAATTTTAATTGATCAGAAGTAAACTAATCTGTCTGCATTTTTGCTGTCCTCAAAAATTACGTACGTGATAAAGTTGGTGAAGAGGGAACTGCACTTTCGAATCACACGAGCTGTTCTTGATTCTTCTTCCTGACTGCGGCTGAAATCTAAGCCATCATCCATCTTTCCTTCCTCATGGAGTATAGCTTGCTTCTCCTCAACTTTACCAACTCCTTTCTTTTTTGTCTCATAAGACTGAAAGAAAGAAGGTACAGTATTAAAAAAATATTTTTATAATATTCTTATCTTAGAGTGAATGTTAATAGTGGCAGAATCTATCTACTTAAAAAAATATGTTTAAAATATTCATTTATTTTCATGGGTTCAATTATATTTTGTAATAATTTAGTGTAGTCTCATAAGACTGAAAGAAGGAAAGTACGGTATAAAAAATATTATATTTTTATCTTAGGGTGAATGTTAGCATTGACAGAATCTATCTACATAAACAATGTGTTCAAAATATTCAGCCATTTATTGTCATTATTTTAATTATATTTATTATTAATTTAGTGTATTATGTTATTTTTAAGGAGCATATATTTAGTATTTTACTAACTGAGAAAGTTCACAGTTCTTACATTCTCCTTCCATTAATATTTTTATATGTAAAAGAATATTCCCCCTTACAAAGGCATTCATCTGGAGAAACTATTTTAAATGGTCCATCTTATCAGTTGCAGTAGGGGTACGTGGTAGTGTAGTCGGTTGAGGCACTATGCTACAAGCTGGAAGGATGTGGGTTCAATTCCTGATGATGTCATTGGATTTTTCAGTTAACCTAATTTTTCCAGCCACACTTTTGTTCTGGGGTTGACTTAGCCTCTAACAGAATTGAGTACCTGGAATCTTCCTGGGGGTAAAGGCCAGCCAGCACATAGGCTGGCAACCTCACTGCCATCTGTGAGCCAGTTATCTAGAACATGTGGGAGCCTCAATGTCTCTCAACCCTATGGGCCTCCCCAGCCTGTTACAGGGATAGCTTTTAGCAGTTTCAGTAATAGGGCATTTATTTTTGCTGTCATCAAATGTTAGACTATTAATGTATTTTTTTCACAGAAAAATGATTTTCAGGCATACTTGTGAGTGTCATTGTTTTCACTTATTTAGAATCAGCCTTTATTATTCATCATAAACATTTCACATTTTGTTGCTGTGAATTTATTAATGTAGGAAGCAAAAGCCATTGAAAATGTGGCACAGTTAAAATGTTTGAGAACAGCAGTAACAAATCAGTATTTGATTCAGGAGGAAATTAAGATGAGATTGAATATGGGTAATGCATTTTGTCTTCTTGTCTGTTGTCTAAAAACATAAAAACTACAATATAAAAACTCTAATTTTGCCTATGGTTCTGTATGGGTCTTCAATATTAAGCGAGGAACATAGACTGAGTGTGTTTGAGAACAGGGTGCTGAGGAGAATATCTGGACTGAAGACGGATGAAATGACAGAAGGTTAGGGAAATTGCATAATGAGGAGCTTCATAAATTGTACTCTTCCCCAACTATAATTAGAATGGTCAAGTCAAGGAGGATGAGATTGATGGGGAATGTAGCATGGATGGGGGATATGATATATGAATATAGGATATTTGTGGGGAAGCCAGAAAGAATGAGACCGAGATGTGGGAGGGTGGTTAATATTAAAATGGATCTTAGAGAGATAGGTTGTGGTGGTATGGACTAGAATGATCTAGCTCAGGATAGGGACCAGTGGAGGGTTCTTGTGAACAAGGTAATGAACCTTTGGGTTGCATAAAATCCTGGGAAGTTTTTGAATAGCTAAACACCTGGGGCACGTGGTGGCGTAGTTAAGGCACTATGCTACAAGTCGGAAGGTTGTGGGTTCAGATACCGATGAGGTCATCGGATTTTTTTCAGTTGACCTAATCCTTCTAGCCACACTATGGCCCTGGGGTTTACTCAGCCTCTTAACAGAAATGAGTATCGGGAATTAAANTGGCATACTTGTGAGTGTCATTGTTTTCACTTATTTAGAATCAGCCTTTATTATTCATCATAAACATTTCACATTTTGTTGCTGTGAATTTATTAATGTAGGAAGCAAAAGCCATTGAAAATGTGGCACAGTTAAAATGTTTGAGAACAGCAGTAACAAATCAATATTTGATTCAGGAGGAAATTAAGATGAGATTGAATATGGGTAATGCATTTTGTCTTCTTGTCTGTTGTCTAAAAACATGTTCCAGAGAGCTCATGAATGGCAGGTATGCTAAACCTTAATATTATAGCTATAGCTACAATTCTGGGTGCTGCACAGTGACAGTACAGGAATTTCTAGATCTGTGCAGTAGTCATGTTCTGAAAGAAAAATAAATCTGTAGAGAGTTAAATTGCATTAACAAAACATAATTTTCCCCTAAGAAATCAGTTGAAATGTCTGGGATCTACTACAAAAAGTATAAGAATATTCTTGCCATTGCATAAAGTGATTGTCTTGTGCAGTAGAGTACATTATTTTTTGTAGTTATTTACTTTGAAGAAAGAACATTACAAGTTGCTAAGAAATTGGATGGCATAATGTCCTTGAGATGTGTACAGGAAATTTGCACAACTAATTGAAAACCATTTTCCTGCTTGTCCGAAGACACATTCTGTCTGTCTCAAACATTGAGAAATGTTAGCAATATGTATTTAAAAAATTCATGAATAATTTTAGAAAAACAGACATGGTTTATAGAAATAATAAAGTTATAATAAGAATCAACACTCATTCTCACAATAAACGGTTTGCTGAGGAATGGTTGAGTGATTTGATGGATAAGTCATTGAGTTGTATGGAGAGATGGCTGAAGATGGTGCAGGTGGTTTCGGTGGTAGATAAGGGGATATAACTGGTTGAAATAATCAGCGGTATTGAATTTTGCATTTATGGTCATTGAAGTTAATGGTAAAATTTCACTAGAGGTATTTGGTGAATCTGTTAGCCATGACTTCTTTAAAAATCAACCATCCTTAATTAATTCCCAGCTTCAGATTTCTCACGCAACAGTATATAAGCAGAAGAGGTTGCATGGCTAAGCCAAATTTCCCCTTTAGCCCTTGCATTTCTCCACCCCACCCCCCACACAATTCTCCACTGCCTTTTTATTGTCACTCTCGATTTTCAGCAAGCAGTTTTTTATTAATGTGAGTGCTATTAATTGTTATCAATCTAAGTTCATTGCATCAATATTAAATTACATTTTTTTAAACTTACATATAACAAGGAATACCTGCACTGTGTTTATTGCTACATAATTGGTTACTTAGAAAGTAAGGGACAACTGTCACCTTAACTGCTATGTACACAGACCTTATATGACAGCCACAGTCCTGATTCTGAGTGTTGTACAATTACAGTACTATCACCATACTTGATGATGGGAGCACCAATAACTTCCAGGTCTTTTTCTTCCAGGACCACTTTCTGATCATCTTTCTCTTGTCGCAGGCAGAATGTGGATGTGGCAAGTGTAGCATCATCTCTGTGTGTACAAATGTAAAATATTTTATTGAACTTTCAGCAAAAAACTAACTCCATACTTACAAAGCATAAGCAATCAATGCCACTGTAGCTCTTTATTGTTTTCATTTGTGCTAGTAAAAACAAATGTTCAGTAATGCTAAAACAAAAGTTTACCATTGGACACCAATCCTGAGCCAGTTTCATACTTGCAACCATTTCCTCTAACATCCAAACTTTTCTTAGCCTATTGTAATAGTATTTTGAAATTTTGACTTACTTTTTTACCAGATACAGCTCATTGTTCTCATTTACTCCCAAATATCGGCCAGTGGTAAGATGACGGATTCTCATTGGATGATACCAGTTGATGAAGCCACCAGCCCATTTGGTTCTAGCCAGCTCAAGTCGCCACAGTGATCTGGCTTGACTCATTACACTGCCACCCTCATAAATAACAATACTGAAAAAATAGATGTCAGTTACTAATACATGTATAAAGTTGATCATCACCATGACCACTCAGTCAAAGGTTTGTATCATCCACTGGTCAAATTCTGAGATCATAGGTTTGAATCCCATTTGGGAATGGCTGTGTGTCTAGATTTTTCTGTCGTTTTGCCCTGTATAGGTCTAAATATCACAATGGGCCAGTAACCCATTGAGCAGTCCTAACATTCCTGAATGATATGTTGTTTCAAAATTAAGTCTGAATCACAGCAGGGTCTAATCTATAAAACCTAAAGAATGATACTAAGTAGTAAGTAATAGTCATCTCGAAATTATCCCACATTTTTCAAAATAATTCTTTAATTATGAAAAGTGATTAAAACTAACTTATTTTCTATTAAGATGTACTTTATTGTGTTATTAACACAGCTTTGACAGCTACCTAGCTTTGGTAACATTGTGTTTTTAACCAAAAAAAAAATAGACTAAATGAAATATGTCTGACATACATGTCAATTTAATATTGCACCATCCTCACAAACCTTTAGTCTTAATGGAAATACAATTATTCAGATTATGTAAAGTGAAAGTAATTGTGTTACTAGAAGTACGGAAGTATGTGTGTGTGTATAAGAGGGAGGGAATAAAAATTTCATGGTGGTACTATATTGAACTATTATAGCAATAAACACAGAACATTATTTTAGTCAGTTTTAGTTCATAAGAATCCTCTGTACCTAGGTCTAAGTTCCAGTTCTTAAGAAATGAAGTTAATATGTGGGTTTATGAGTTAGAATAGCATTATGTTTATTATATTAAACAAGAAATGATAACATACTTGCAGAATAGAGAAAGAAAACATGTTTAAACTACATTTGTTAAAAGAAAAAGTGATCATGTCTGTGCTTTGTAATGCAGCATTTCATGTGTGAAACACCTACCTCAATTGTGATAAATGTGTTATACAACCATAGTGAAAATGTTGTAATTCTGCTTACTTTCAAGAATGAATAACAATACATACTGAAATAAGTGCTAATGCAGTCAGTGATTGTGAATATATAAACCTTATTTTAAAATATTACTTAATCACTTTTTTTTAGTAATGTATTTTACTTACTTGTAAACGAGTTCCATAAGCTACAGTGTCAAGAATGGCCAACATCTGAACAAAGAGATTGCTCAATTCACTTCCTTATTCTGATGATTTTTAAGCAACATTTAGTATTAGGCTTAATTCCATTTTCCAAACTCGTCTATTTGCAACTCTTTTCAAAATGAAAAGTATCATATATGAAAATGTAAAAATTAAAACATTTCCTTTAAACTGCACAAGGAACTATTGTTAATCTAATAATTTCATTTCATATTTTCAATAACAGACATGTCTTACTTTTGACCAGGTTGATCAGTCCAAGTAGATGGAATGGTGAGACATTCATCACCTCCATGGAAGAACCTTAATACATCACCACCAAAGACATAACCTGAAATGTGAGTGTGCAATGTTTCAGTTATATTTTACAGTTCAGATAACATTAAATCATTTATGGATGAATGGAAGTTGGATTGTTGAAAAATGAGGGAGCACGACTTGTAGCATAGTACCATAAAGTAATGAAAGAAGTTAAACCCAGTCTTCAGTTTTTTCCTCATACTGTATCTAGTGGACTAGAGTGAACTGAGTGCATTGTTCTCTGAATTGAAATAGATATAATTTTGAGGCTGGTTTAAATAAATTATTTTAGGTCGATTAATGTTCTGTTTCTAGTCTCAATAGGAAAAAAAAAAGTTGTATTTCTTAAGTAGTAGTAGTAGACAGTGTGAAAGTATCATTGACTTCTGTCAAAATCTGTGGCAGATTTAACCATGTGGAAGATGTGGATTATTTGTTGTTAATCATTTGGATAAGTTTCAAACCAATAACTCTGTATATGTCATTGGTACCAGAAGGAATGACCACCTTCATATACCTTCAACACATTTATCATCCTATCAGAGAGAGGTGTACTATTCAGGCATCAAGCTATTTAATACTTTGCTGTCAAATATCACAGTTTTAAAAAATGATAAAAAGCAATTTAGGTTTGTTTTATGAAATTATTTGCAAAGTAACACATTTTACTCAATTGATGAGTGTGTTGAGCATGTAAGTGGCTCAAAAGTTAAGAGTTAATAAATGGTCTGTGTGAGTGATTTATACATTGTTGAGACTTGCTTGTTTGTAAGTGTAGTAGTATGTATGATGTCTATTTTTTGTTATGAATTTTAATATTTTATAATGTAACTGTTTGGATGTGTGTGGAATGGGAAGGTGTGAATTTGATTGTGGTTTTTCCATGACCTATGTGTGTTGTCCTGACAACTTGAGCTCTTCTGTCTCAGGCTTGATGTTATATTTTATTGGACCAAGGACGAATGATGTGTAGTCATCATGCATTTGTAATATGTGACATGTTTTATATCCAGCCCTATGGGGAGATGATTGGATCCATGAAATGAAAGATAAATATAAATGTAAACAAATATAAAAAAATGTTCATTTTCTTCTGTAGTGTGCTATTCTATAATTGTTAAAATTTCACTTCCTATATATGTGTACATTAGCTATTAAATGAAGATGAGTTTGATATTAATATTATGTAATGAGTTTTGTGTAAGATCATTGAATGTCTTGTTTTGAATTTCAATATATTTTGAAAAAAAAAATGCTTAAAAGCACAGACTCTGTTATTACATGTTTATCTCAAATTAAAGTTACATCAGAATGGAAATTCATGTCATCCTAAATAAAATTTCCTTGTTAAGTCAAGATTCAAACTTGAAAAATTGTTACTGGGGATTTTAATCTAATGAGATAGCTTGTTGTACATGTCAAAGAAATCTTATTAACTCAGTTATGTTAACAAATATATTTTTAGTACAAAATTGCATATGATGAACAGTGATGTCAAGCCTTTGTTCCAAATATTCATCTGTACATTTTCCCTAATCATAATTACATTCCAGTGAACGGATAACTGACTTAACACTAACAGTATTGCAGTCTTGTATACCTACCTACATACTTCATCCTGCTAATGCCAGTTCCATATGGTTGCACAGACCAATGAGTTACATGGAAAGATGCATTCACTACAGACAAGTCATTTTCTTTTGCTGTATGCTAAAAATGAAAATAAGTGTAGAAGAAAATCATTACAGCAGCAGATTCCACAATATTTTGGCTATATTTTAAACTCTCAGTTCAAAAATTGTGTTGAATAATGTCTCTGATTTCATACAGATTACATATTATAATGTACAGCTCTAAGATTGTGTTGTGCTATTCGTTGTTTTTGGGTATACCATGCTGTGTAAGGTATTATTTTTATATGCATATGTAACTGTATTACACTAAATAAACAAAACAGTTGTGTTAACATTTCATTAACTTCTAAAATATAATTCTGTAATGTTCTGCAAAATCTTGTTATTGAATGTCAGATGTGTATGAATATTTGATTGCAAGAGGGTTAGGTGTGGGTAGGTAAATAGTATACATGTAACTTAAATTGTATTATATTTTAAGTGAAAGAGAAATGTGATATTCTAAATTTTAGATGTTTTCTTCCATTGTCTACAGAAATTTCACCAATTCTCATTTTCATTTAACTAACCTAATCATGATTTATATTTGATAATAGTGACTAAGTCTGCAGATGTGTTTTGTCCAGAGTGATTTCAGTGATACTTATTAGAATTACAAAAACTGTCAAGAAGTATCTTGTTACTGGTTTCTGTTCAAAGTCACCATCATATGTTTTATTTGTTACTTAAAAAGAGAGAATTCTGTCAGACATATGAACACAGTTTATATAACTTACTAGATATCGCTCTGTGGCTACAGACACTAAAATAAGGTCATCACCAACTCTCACTTTCTCACCCTCAGATCTTTGTTTTGATGCAGGATGAACAGTCCACCAACAGGCTTCACCTATGTGCAAGAAAGAAACACACACACACAAAATTAACTAAACATTGAATATGGTGATGTGATGCAATTGGATTGATTAGATGCTCTCCTCTCCTCTCCTTGCAGTTCACATTAGTGAGAAGGAAGTATAACACCAGAAATTACTATGCACTTGTCAGCCCTCTTGCTTCATATTTTTGAGATACCGTATTCAGATTTATGAGAATTCTGATTGAGGTTTTTCATAGGTTTCCTCAATTGCTTCAGAGCTGTAAAAAGTATCTTGAAACTCACATGATCCTGAATCGAATTCACCATATATAACAGTTCCATCATTGAATTTGAAGGTACATACAGAAATCACTGCACCTTCATAATAGCAAATACTTTTATAGTTTGATTGCATTCATCTTCAGGAGGTCACTGTTGTGAGTTTATTTCTGCTCTCATAATTTTTTTTGTATATAAAGCAAAGTGACAGAACTAAAATGTGATAAAACATGAAGGATAATTTTTTGATTGATGACAAAAAATAACATATAATTTCATTCTCAATTATTACCTCATTTAGTAGCTGATTTTTTAATTTATTAATTTCTAACAAAGTTGTACAGTATGCAGCTGCATACTGCTAGAGAAAAAGCTTTGATTATAATTATTGTCTCTGAAATGTATATGCTATTTCACTTTCACAGTGTTTTGGTTTATGAGACTACGACAAATTAATTACATTTGCCTCAGCGGTAAGAATAGCATCAGATGTTATAAAAGAGTAAAAACTGAGAATTACGCCTTCCACATATTTCTTGTGACTTGTAATACCTAAATATATTTCAATTTGCATGCATTAATTTAACTGCTCTGACATTAAGGGAGGAACATAGACTGAGGGTGTTTGAGAACAGGGTGTTGAGGAGAATATTTGGACCAAAGAGAGATGAAGTCACAGGAGTTTGCAGAAAACTGCATAATGAGGAGCTTCATAACTTGTACTCTTCTCCAAGTATAATTAGAATGATCAAGTCAAGGAGGATGAGGTTGGCGGGTCATGTAGCACAAATGCGGGAGATGATGAATGCGTATAGGATATTGGTGGGAAAGCCAGAAGGAAAGAGACCACAGGGAAGACCAAGGCATAGGTGGGTGGACAATATTAAAATGGATCTTAGAGAGATAGGATGGGATGGAATGGATTGGATAGATCTGGCTCAGGATAGGGACCAGTGGAGGGCTCTTGTGAACACGGTGATGAACCTTCAGGTTCCATAAAATGCTGGGAAATTCTTGAGTAGCTGCAGAATTGGCGGCTCCTCAAGAAGGGCTCAGCTCCATGAGTAAGTAAGTAAGTAAGTAAGTAAATGTATCTTTATATGAGTATATCAGTATGCCTGATTTGATATGCTAATTATAATTAACAATAAAAATGATTTGGTTTGTTCATTTTCTTAATTACTGTTGGATAACTATGAAACATTTAATTCTGAAAATGATAAAAATCATCCATTTTACGGTCATCTGAGTTAAACGTTGGTACCAACCCACCATGCTACACACTTTATCATAACACAGAAGATCAAAATAAAAGTCTTCACTGCAATGAAATGAAAGGTATATTTAGACCTTTTGAGAGAATAATTCAATGATTTATTCTTAAAATAAAGTAAATATTTTTCTTGAAATTAAAATTATAGGTACATACCTTGGGAATGTTCCTGGAGACCCACATCAAAGGCTAATTTATCATTGGAAGAGCTGGTTGATAAACAGGCCAAATACTGCAAAGTAAAATGTAAAACTTTTGCACTGGTCCCAAAATAACAAGGTGATCTCATGAGCCTCCTAACGAAAATTAAGCAAGATACACAGACACATACATAGCTAGATGCACAGACACAGACAGATACACAGATGACCTCATAAGCCTTCTTTTATTTTATCAAAATAAGGAAAGTAGGCAAAGACTGGTCATTCATGGAATGCAATATGACTGTCACCTTTCAGAGCTAGGATATGGAACTGGAAAGTATTTAACATGTGTAGATACTTGCATACGTCATTGATTACCATGTAGCATCTAAGTTGCAGGCACATAATGTAGAAAAATACTGTTCTCAAATCACTGAAAGGAACTGGTTGACATGATTTGCTCATGCTATAACCTTCCTTTAGAAACATCCGTAAATAGTGATAAGGATAACTATGATTATTTAGAAGCCTAGGCAGCAGTTTCTTTTTCTTTGCTGAAAATATATGGCTTTAATATCATATGAAAGTGGTATTTCTTATAGTCTTCACAGAACATTTTAGCGAGAGCAAAAGACATTATTTTCCTCATCCATGTAATGCCATGAAACTGGAGAAATATCACTGTATAGAGTGAAGGCATATTACATGACAGCACAGTTCATGAAAATGAAATGCAAAAGAATATACATTCAGACATTTTCAAATTCATAGAGGTTCTTTTTATTTCCATATTAGTTTTAAGCTTAATATCTTTTGCTGGATTTATTGTTTTAATGTTTGCATTACCTTAGCATGGAAGACAAATTTTTTGTTTAAATTAACTTTCTATCATATGATGTAGTGGGGGGCTCAACCACACCTGAGCCTTGAGCCTCAGGAGAGCTCATTCTACCTTCAAGTAAACTAAATTTAACTGAAAAATTATTAACTTTAGATCTCAATTTTTATTTCCCTACCACATCTATCCATTTCTTATTCAATTCAATTCTTTATTATTTACGTGCCAAGTCAACGGCCGCAAGGCCAATTACAGACTTAGCACAGTGTAGATGAAATTAATTACGTGTAACATTATACAAACATTAGTCAAACACATTATAAGTCAAAAATAAATTACAGGCAATTTCTTGGGTAAACACAATAATGAATAAAAATAAACAAACAAGCAAATAAATGATAATAATAACAATAATAATAATAATTCCATTATTATAAAACTAAGTGTTATTTAGTAGTGAAAAAGAAACATTAATATTTAATTAATAATTCAATTCAATTCTTTATTATTAGTGTGCCGAGTCAACAGCCGCAAGGCCAATTACAGACACAGCACAGTGCAGATAAATGAATTACATTATAGTCAAACTTATTAAAAGTCACATACAAATTACAAGTAAGTACTTGGAAGAATTCATAATGAATAAAAGTAAAAGTAAAAGTAAACAAACAAATAGCTGATATGGAATGAAACATAAATATTTAATAAAAATACTAACAGTTATACTATATTTAAAATTTGTTTGGATAGAACATTCCTGGTTCCAAATACGTCA